AGAACAGCGGACTAACGGACCCGAGGATCAAATATGGCGACCGCTTAATTCGCAGCGGGGATTATGCAACAAGCATTCAGGTGGGTCGGCCATCTTTGTTCCGCGGCCATCTTTCTTCTGTTAGTCCGCTATTCTGAATGCGCTCTTAAATGTTGTCTCTCATTACTTTTTTGTCTACCTCTCCTCTTACACCATCGGAGACCAAATGAGGAGCTGAATGCTAGAAGGACTTTCGGCCGTGTGATTAAAGCCATTATTGCTATAGAGTGAACGAAGAAAAGCCAAGATGCAGCGTACACACGTGAAATCGGAGAAAATATGATACGAATCACCACCTGAGAGAAAGGAGACACGAAAACATGAGCTCTGTAAACAAGTGACTGCTATTTTTAAGTGACAAAGAAGAGGCTTCCTCAAACTGTAACTAAAGATCTGGATTCTTGTTTCTTCAAGCCCCTACAAATGATGGATTTCTCCTTACAGAAAATTTAATTCCCACCTGACATTGTTTCCTACTACCTACAGCGTGTACTTTCATTGTGATTAATTTAACAAGCTGTAAGCTCAAATTTTCGAAAGTCTTCGATTACTTTGACAAAGGCACTTCTAGCATATGGACAATTTGAATCGACACATAAGTTTGCATGCGACTGATTATTTTATAAACGAAGTCTGACTGATACACTGTGTCATATTGAACCATTCTTTATTTAGTTGTAAGCTACTGCTATTATGAGTTCATTATCTTTGTTCTAATGGTTAGCATTTCTTGTCTTTTTGATTAAATAATTAGGCATTGTACAACTGTTACTTCTTCAATGGGAATTCAACAGTTTTTGATAGGATACCTTAAAGTATTTTATTTAAAAGAATATTCATGTGATGGAGCAAATAACCAGAGAGACCCATTCTTCACTTTCCGGATGTGGCTCAGTAGGGATATCGAACTGCATTGTAGGAAAATGTGCGAGCAAACGTTGAGCTGGTAGTCCCGAACCAGCTCAGCTCTTACCAAACCAGCTAATTTGCCCATGCTGCTGTAACTGGGTAAGGCATACGTGTGAAAGCTACTCTTTAATCATTTATTTCGTCCAATATGACAACAATCTGAAGTGTTTCAAGCTCCAGAAATGATAGATGTCGGGGGGTTTACGACAACTATTTTACCGCTAATACAATAGGAGCGCATGCGCACTGTGGCTTTATAGGTTTCTTCTGTGGTTTCTTCTGCTAAGTAAAGAATTACACTTGAAGTTGGAAAGTATATTCCTGCCGGTGTGAACGGAATGCAGGTCCGCCCGGAACCGAGGTCCTACGGACCACCGTTCCTGAGGAATAGTAGTCCTAATGGGACCTGCATTCCTGATATAATAAAGGGTAGGACTTCTATTCCTGGCGGACCTGCATTACGTTTACATTAGTCAACGGAATGAAGGTCCGCCCTATAACTATGAGCGCATTCTCAACGAATTAAGCCAGGCTTTACAAAGCCGGTGACCTAAAAATGGCGGACGTACATGAAAGAAAAACCGCCTAATCTTTTAATAGTCTCTCCGCCTCCCCACACGTCGTCCCTGCAGGGTACAGTAATTAAATCTCGGCTCCGTTCGCCATGCGGAAGCTACCTGAGAAATATTAAGTGCGCATGCTCATCAGTTAAACTCGTGGTGAAGAAGGCATAGCGGCTGAAGGCGATCGAAAAAAAAGCTCTTCTGTTCTATTATCTTTGAAAACAGAGACGAAAAAGGAATAATTTGGCCCGTAGAGCAGCAATGAATCGACTATCTAAGGAGATAATATCACCAGAGATATTCACGGAAATATTAATGTTCGGAGTAGTGGAAATATTAATGTTCGGAGTAGTGGTCAGGCTGTGCAGTGTAATGGATGTTATACAGAGTAATTGTGTAAGTGGATGGAGGTTCGAATTTCGTTTACGAAATAAAAGTATGTTTACTTTTCGTGTGATTTTTTTTCTTTTGTTTTATCCTGGTCGTCATTTTTGCCACGTAGCAAATTTTTGATTGGTTACAGACATAACCAGATGTCACACGCTACCTTGTTCTACTAAAAAAATCCGCTCATATATGAATACCACACCCTCACAAGACGTTTGATATGGAGAGGACAAGCAGCACCCGGACCAGGCCCGAAGTTGAAGTTATTTTGCAATATCTTCAGGAGGGCACGTATCCCATCGAGACAACACCAACACAGAAAAGAGTTTTTTCGAAGAACAAGCAAGTCTAATTATAAAGTAAACTTTCAATTTTCATGATGTTTAATATGCAATATTATTAGAGGTCACACTACGTTATACGCAGATATATAATTCCAGGGATGTGTGTACAATGGTCCTATGTACCTTGAATAAATGTCCTGCAGGGGATTACTATTTAATGGGTATTTATGTCCGGGGGACTACCATTTCTAGGATTTTAGGTCCGGGGGACTACCATTTCTAGGATTTTAGGTCCAGGGACAACCATTTCTAGGATTTTAGGTCCGGGGACATTCAACTGATGAGGTATAAGCTTTTGGTGAATTACCCCATGAATCAAATTGATGCATATTTTACTTATAAAGCATTGGTTTAATATAGTGTGACCGTAATATGTACACTGTTTGCCTGGATTATACCATTTACTGGTGGTGCGCCTTGTACATTTGTATACTTCGTAGTCAATTACCATTTATATTAAAATTGAATGCAGGTGAACTGTGATTAACGATGCAAAAACACTTATGGTATCTAAATTAATTTTACAGGTACTTACCGTGGGAACAAAAGTGTTGAAAAGAAATTTACGAAGGAGTGACAGAAAGGTGGGCAAACAAGAAACCCCCTGGCTGGGGCCCTACGTTGTGAATGGGATATCCAAATCTGGATATTACATCCTCCAGGGCGGATGCACACTGAAAGGCGCCGTAAACAGGGCAAATTTGAAAGTTTATGTTGCAGATGAATAAATAAAGAACTGAAATAAATATGTGAAAAACTGAAATAAATATATGCAAATGTAACAAGTGTTATTCTTCATATACCTTTTTTATTCCATTGTATTTTTTTAGGTGAAATATTTGAAAAGTAATGGTAATAATATATTAGTTATCTATCTATATATCACTCACTTTAAGTGCGAGAGAAAAATGGTAGCGGACATATATTCCTAGTGTAAATCAGGATAACAGGTCCCATCCGGACTTAGATTCCTGGCCGTGGGACATGCATTCCTTGGTAACTGTTGTCCTACGGACGTTAAATCCTAGTAACGTATGTCCTAGGACCTCCATTCCTAGCAACGCTAGACCTAGGACTTACGTTCCCAGGACTTAGTGTCCGGTCGGACTTGCGTTACTAGGACTACCATTCCGTTCACACCGGCAAATCAGAATGACTAGAAGGTTAAATCCGGCGATTTTTTTTTCAAATGAGACCCATTTAATATTACCACAGTAATATTCTATTTGGATACTTCAAACATTTATCAAGAAATAGCTTTAAGTCAGGTTCCCTCATACTGACAGTACAAATATGATATACATGTTAAGACAGCCACTGTCTTTTAGGTTCAATCCCATAGTTGATGGAAATGAAGAGACACGGTAAAAATAATTCGTGTTTCGTGTAAAGGAATTCACCATATTCATCCTGAATCTTATACTATACATGAAGAACGAAATGAAGGAGAGACCTTTCCACGTGTAGTTATCTAAATTAAAACCAAAGAAAAAATGAAACCAACATATTCATTCAAAAACCAATACAAAAGATTGTCTGCTCAGAATTTATTTAATTAAGTAATCAGTTATCTAGATCTACAGATATGTCCAAAAATTGAATATGAAGAATCAGAAATGAAACAGAACAAGTATCAATCAAAATGCAATAAACTTTGTCTGCCAATTCATCTTTTTGAATACTTTTCATCACAATGTAATTAATTTTAATCTTGAAAGACTACAACTTCTTTATCGTGTTTCAAGAGAAGGACATCGGCGTAAAATAAAAACAAATGAATAATATTTTAGGAATAAGTCCATATTCTGGGAAAGGTCTGTGGACTAACCGCGACAGGGCACAGGGTTATCGCAAGCGTGCATGGTCTCCTGAATCTGCTTTGCTGTGAGCACCTCACCAAACCACTGCACGCACTTCATGGCTCCCCTGAAGTAGCGGTTATCGTTAGCAGACAGGTGGCGGGCGCCAATACGAACTGGACCGCTTGTATCATGGATGTGACGGCCCACATATGACTCCCCCAATTCAACGCCGTTCTTGTACATATGGTACAGTCCGGTGGTATAGTCATAGGAAACGGCAGCGTGAACCCAGGTGGATGCTGAGAATGCCGGGAGTGCAAAGTTGCCGAGGAACTTATACGGCTGCGCGATCATCAAACGAACAAAAAGTCTATTAGAACCATTAAGCCAAATGTGGGTGCCGTATTTACTGAAAGCATCATTTTCGTCAATTTGGAAATGAAACAGGGGACCCCAATTCTTGGGGTCATCAGCGAAGATTCTCACAAAGGCGACGTACGTAAACGAGCGAGTCTCCAATTTGGCACCTTCATTAGGAATTGTCAGATAGGACATGGCCGTTCCCGCAAATTTTGCAGAACTGTAGGCGCCATCGTAGCTTTCTAGTATATGAAACATATAAGTAAAACCTTATAAGTCGATCATCCAATCATATGTATTAAAACACAGGGTATTTAATACATCAACGTACTTTTAGACCTGTTTTCCTTAATGAAACAAGTAAAGTGCAATTATATGTCGGGTAACTTTGTAGCTTATTTTAAGACTGACAAAAAAAAAAATAAACGAATAAAAAGCACTGGACCTAGCTTTATTTATTCAAAGTGAACAAAAGGAAACAGTGCCGTAAGCGCCTCGTTCCTCCACCACGTGACCCACCACCACGTGACCCGGGTCACTAGTAAACACACGCTTCATAGTATGCACAGCCAATTCTGAACCCAATTGANTAATCAGTTAGTTAGATCTACAGATATTTCTAAAAAAAATTAAATTTGAAGAATCACAAACGGAACAGAACAAGTTACACTTTAAATGCAACACACTTTGTCTACCAATTCCTCTTTTTGAATACTTTTCATCACAATGCAATAATTTTCAAATTTATTTAATGTGTCAAAGAAAGAAAACGCTGTAACGATTTTGATTCTTCATAGACTATGTACAACTTCTTTATCGTGGGTCAAGATTAGGTGTTCGGCGTAAAAGAAAAATATTGATAGGCCTATTTCAGGATAAAGTCCATTTGTGAAACAGTTCCGTGGACTAACCACGACAAGGCACGGGGTTATCGCAAGCGTGCATGGTCTCTTGAATCTGCTTCGCGGTGAGCGCTTCACCAAACCACTGTACACACTTCATGGCTCCTTTGAAGTAGCGGGCATCGCCAGACGATAGGTGGCGCGCGCCAATACGAACTGAACCGCTTGTAGCATGGATGTGTCGGCCGACATACGCCTCCCCCAATTCAACGCCGTTCTTGTAAATATGGTACAGCCCGGTGGTATAGTCGTAGGAAACGGCAGCGTGAACCCAGTTAGAGCCTGAGAATACGGGAAGTGAATAGGAACTAGTTGACTTGTACGGCTGCGCAATCATCAACAGAACATAGAGTCCATTATGACCTAGAATCCAAACGTGGGTGCCATACTTACTGAAGACACCATTTTCGTCAATTTGAAAATTAAACAGGGGACTCTCATTCTTGGCATCTCCAGCGAAGATTCTCACAAAGGCGACGTACGTAAACGAGCGAGTCTCTAAACTGCCATCTTCATTCGGAATTGTAAGATAAGAAGAAGCCGTTCCTGTAAATTTTGCAGAGCTATAGGCGTCATCGTAGCTTTCTAGAAAATGAAACATTTGTTAAAAATGCTTAGTCGAATATTTTATACATTTGTCAATTAATAAGCTAGTCTATTAATCAAATATCCTAAAATTAAATATCAACAAGATGTTCATTTTTGTCATCTGGCCTTACAGGAAGTGCAATTTAACTGCGGGACATTACATGCACGTAGCTTGCATATGTAAATAAACAGTAGCAGACAAAAATAAGCAATATTTTCAAATATAATATCAGCATATTCAATTATCATTATAATAGAAAAATAAATATTGTAATAGCACTCCGAGAGCGCAGACCTCCGCCATGGCAGCAATTATTATTATTATTATTGATCCGGATCACCACCAAAAACTAATCATCTGTTCCTTGGTCCACTTCTGACAGTTCCCGAAAATTTCATCAAAATCGGTCTATAACTGTTTGAGTTATGTTGAAGACAGACAGACAGACAGACAAACAAACAGACAAATAGGTAATAACTTAAAAGCGGGGGTAATAACTTACAAGCGAGCTGCTTTGATTTCGGGCATAATTTCAAATGCATAATACTGATAACTACATGCATTTTTGTTTGAAATGGACTTGTGCTTTATGGGCTGGGTTAGTAAAACGTGTATTACGAATACTTCATGATACGCATAATTAAGAATTAAGAAAACAATGATGTTAGCGCCTTGTCCAACGGCATACAGCCAAGTAACCGAGTAATTGACTGCATAATTTGTAGTTCGCCATGTCAAATGTCAACCCAATTGATGGAAACTATTTCACAACTTTCACTGTCTCTTACCTCGATTTAATGATAGTTCTTCATGCAAAAATCAACCCGTTAAATGATAACTTTTTCAAAACTTTTATTGGCTCTTACCACGATTAAATGATACGCCGTGGACATCAGCGTTGTTGCCATGACGACTACAGTCCCGTCCCTCAGTGGAGTTTTGCAACGGCCAGAATCCAAGAGGTTCCGGTACTTTTGCTGGAACACAGATGCACAGTTTCAGTGTAAAGAAAATATAATTATTTTTATAAGAAAAATATATTTGACAAAATTTGCTCCATAGGCCCCTTTAAAAGAGAACCCAAAAAGCGTTAGGGGAGGGGGTGTATCCCATTTTTTCTGATAAAATGTAATAAAGAACTATTGACTTGTGCTACAGCATATATACTGTTTTGCAGACCTCAGCAAGAGCACGATGTCCATACGAGATTTTGGGCACAGTTGGCAGTCTTGCTGGAGAATCAGTTTTGGCAAGATTATAAGATTAAGTGCACACAATGTCAATATAATGCATATACAGCGCTTCTAAATTTGTGTATCCAAATGTTCCCGCTGAAAACATGTATCTGTCCCTTTTTTGATCCCACATTGTGACAATATGGACTACATTTCATTTGTCACTGTACAAAATGTCATTGAAACTGTCTTAAAACATTATTATTGATAGCAGTACCAATTAAACTCACTGACAAAAAAGTAGGAATATGTATATAGATTGAAGTACATTAAAATGGGATGTCATGTTTTTAAAAAGAAGGACGTTTTTCTGTATTCTGTTGGTAGTTTGAAATGTGTGTTCGAAGATATGTTATCACCTGCTTGCAATTTAACCTCAAGTCACGACATACATATCACACATATCTAACCATACTTGATTTTGGTTACTTTGGTTAATGACTGCCATAAAATTCTTCCAATGACTATAACCCTCATCCCAAACCGATCCCTGTACTAAGAACTGGCGTGCCTGATAATAATGTGGTTAAACCTGTCTTTGACTTCCCACCTCACTTAACAACCATGCTAATTCAAGAGTTTGAAGACAACCTACCACAAGCCTGATCGTTGCACACCCGCGTGACGATGCTGGTGTCGCTACATCTTCGAGTCTGCAGTCCACCACCACAAGAAGAGGTGCAGGCGCTCCAGGCATATTCGCCTTGACAGCCACATGACTACAAATAAAAGATACTTGGGTACTGACTAACTTTCATCGACAAAATCATGTTTGTACAAACACAAATATGCACGGTACAGATACATGTACAGACAGACAGACAGACACATACAAACACACATGCGTACTTTTATAGGTACATACATGACCAATATCTGGTAAACATTGCCCACCTGATCTGCGGTACAGAAGACAGCCATTGTAAGCAGAAAACACCATGACCAATATCTGGTAAACATTGCCAGGGTCCTTTGATTGTCAAAAAAAACAAAAAAAAAAAAACATTATTTAACAATGTAAGGTCACTCGAGAGAAAGTGGGGAAATCTACTGTTCAGACTTAAAATAATGGGCAGTTATGGATATCAAACTTTTATATCAAAATTAATGAAACTTAAATCAAAAGGTGGACTTTAGATACAGGTACTATTATACCCCACCACTGTACTGCATTTATTGTTTTTGTTGCTGAACAACTAAAAGAGAAACGAATATTACGGCATGTAGGACAATTGCAAAAATGTTCCATCGTGTTTTGTCAGTTTTTCTTAAGTCCGGCCATCTACATCTCACCAGTAAATTCTACGTGCTAAATCGAAAAGCATTAATTGAGCGGCCATGCATTCTTCAAGAAAATGTGCAAACGATGAATTCGTGAATGGTCTGAAGTAAGGACGGAAATGCTTTACTCACAGTATCTTCTTTTGAATTTCAAAAATGTCTTTTTCAATCCACTTTGCCAGCCAGCGGTGTTGCCTCTTCGTCCGGGTGTGCACAGAGCTACGTCGGGAATGAGCCACAGGCGACCTATGAATTACTTTTATACATGACGCAATGCTGAATGTCCTTGTTATCCACAATAATTGAGGAAATGAAATAACATTGCGAGCAGCGGCACAGCTAGGTCTAAGTAGGTTTTTGTACCTTACTAGTATGCAGCAAATAATGCATAAGGGTAAATTGGGCGTTTAGCCAGAACAAATCATTTCCTTGTTCAGTCTTTCGAAATTGATTTGGAAAATTTAATGCACATCTTTTGCTCTGAACTTAGTTTAATCCCCGCACAATATGTAAAATATAAATAAAATAATAAATATAATATTTTCCCAGCAAATCTGAATGTTGAGTAGGTTAAGTGTGACCTTTTATCCTCGCACGGCCTTATTGCTACCACGAACTGATATTCTGTTGAAATTTTCCAAGCATATCGATAGTGTAGCTAGTGTAGCTAGTGTAGCTAGTGTTCTATCATATTAACACAATGACTGTGATATATAGGCCGCCACTTTCTCTGAGATATAATCCCATAACTGATAAAAATGAAGAGACGTGGTAAAAAAATTCGTCCTTGGTTAAATTATTCACGGTGTTCATCCTGTACTTTTATGAAGAACCAACAGAAGGGGTGTTCCTTTCCGAATCTGGGGATGGAAGTTGAACAAAATGAAGAAAAAAATAAAGTTAACATGTTCATACAAAATTCAATACAATTAATCATCTGCTTAGAATTTATTCAGTTATTCAGTAAGCTAGATTCACAGATATTTCCAAAAGAAAAGACTTTAAATGATCAATAATGAATCAGAAAATGGTCACTCTAAATATAATACCAATTTCTCCATGAAGAGAATCCTTTCGAATGTTTTTCACCAAATGCAACTTTTCTGAAATAAATTGAAAATCTCAAATAAAAAAGCAAGCGATAAATCTAATCAGATTCTTCATAGACTGCTGTTCCTTTATTCTGGGACAATATTGAGAATTTGGTCTTAAAATAATTTAGATAATATTTCAGTCTAAAGTCCACTTCCTTGAATTAATAGCTGCAGGGCACGGGGTTATCGCAAGCGTGCATGGTCTCCTGAATCTGCTTTGCGGTGAGTACCTCCCCAAACCACTGTACACACTTCATGGCTCCCTTGAAGTAGCGGGCATCGCCAGACGAAGCGTGGCGCGCGCCAATTCGAACTGGACCGCTTGTATTGTGGATGTATCGGCCCACATATGACTCCCCCAATTCAACGCCGTTCTTGTAAATATGGTACAGCCCGGTGGTATAGTCATAGGAAACGGCAGCGTGAACCCAGGTGGATGCTGAGAATGCCGGGAGTGCAAAGTTGCCGAGGAACTTATACGGCTGCGCGATCATCAAACGAACAAAAAGTCTATTAGAACCATTAAGCGAAATGTGGGTGCCGTATTTACTGAAAGCGTCATTTTCTTCAATTTGGAAATTAAACAGTGGACCCGCATTATTGGTGTCATCAGCGAAGATTCTCACAAAGGCGACGTACGTAAACGAGCGAGTCTCTAATTTGGCACCTTCATTCGGAATTGTCAGATAGGACATGGCCGTTCCCGCAAATTTTGCAGAACTGTAGGCGCCATCGTAGCTTTCTAGTATATGAAACATATAAGTAAAACCTTATAAGTCGATCATCCAATCATATGTATCAAAACACAGGGTATTTAATACATCAACGTACTTTTAGACCTTTTTTCCTAATGAAACAAGTAAAGTGCAATTATATGTCGGGTAACTTTGTAGCTTATATTAAGACTGACAAAAAAAAAATAATAAACGAATAAAAAGCACTGGACCTAGCTTTATTTATTCAAAGTGAACAAAAGGAAACAGTGCCATAAGCGCCTCGTCCCTCCACATGTGACCCACCACCACGTGACCCGGGTCACTAGTAAACACACGCTTCATAGTATCCACAGCCAATTCTCAACCCAATTGTTACATAAGTTCATAGCCATTACTGATTCTTACCACGATGAAATGATACACCGTGAACGTGAGCGTGGTTGCCATGGAGACTACAATCCCGCCCCCTAGTGGAGCTCTGAAGCGGCCAGAAGCCGCGAGGTGGTGGTACTTTAACTGAAATAAAGAGTTTGGAGGACTTTACTCACAATATTTGACATGGTTTGCACCCTTTGCTCCTCTTAATAATAATAATAATAATAATAATAATAATAATAATAATAATTTTATTTACGTCGCACGATTAAAAATAAAAGCCACCCTACTAAGTCCTATAGATTTTTTCAAGGATCCTATAAGATCGTACAGTACTTTTTCTTTAGGGCACTACCAACACCGCAATACCAACACCTTTACCTATGTTATTCCAAGAGTTTGCACAAGACTGAGGATTACACGCCCGCGCGACGATGCTGGTGTCACTACATCTTCTAGTTTGCAGTCCGCCACCACAAGAAGCGGTGCAGGCGCTCCAATCAGATTTGTCCTTGGAGTCACATGACTACAGATGAACGATATTACAGGATATATTGCACTTGCTTTGACGTATCATTCACATTTAAAGGGATAATAACTCTTCGTTTTGGCCAAAAAATGAATTTTCCTGGAGTAGACAACAATTTTCCCATACTTACCAATGGTTAATGAGTCCCTTTTTACATTCAATTTCTTCTTTTTTTTTTCTTAAAAGTTTGTTTTTTGTGTAATAATCTTTAAGATATTATTACAGAGTATATCTTTCTATGGAGGTCACGTGGTCAGATGGCAAGCACATATTTCAGATTTATTACTACAACTTTCTTTTTTGTGGTAAAATAGAATATATTTTATTTATATGAGTTGTTTACAATGTACTTATTGTGAAATATAGATTACATACGAAGTCACCTGAATGCACATGATTTTATTACTGGTGAAAACTAAGCTATGATATTTTGTACATGCATGTATAAATTAATCTGCCTTTTATCTGTTGCGTAAGTCTTCAATTTAGGTGTACCTGGGAAATTTGAAAATCTGTGCACATACATACATACATACATACATACATACAATAAACATAAGTTCATGTTTAAACACAGTTGCGACTCTTTCAAACTGTAGTTAAATCACTCAATGCCTACCTGACTTCCAGCACAGAAGACAGCCACTGCCAGCAGGAAACACCACGGCAAGTGTTTTGTACACATTGTCAGTGTCTTTGCCTTTAAGAAAAAAAAAAAACAGTGTAGATAGAGAGCATAAAATGTGGTTATTAAGAAATTGTGTAATATGCACAGTTGCCAACAGTGTCGTCGGCAAATTTATTTTTTGTTTTGTTTCGTTTGCTTGTGTTGTTTGTCTTGATTACTTTGTGTTGTCTCGTCTTGGTGTGAGTGGCGCCCTCATATGTTGGATGACTGATGTTCTGATGTGTGGTAATAAAACGTCACCATGTATTGTCATGGTTGGAACACGCCTAGTACTGTATGCTAAAGAATGGAGGCAGCATTGTTATGTACGTATTTTTCAGTTATTTAATGTATGTGTTTTATTGTAATTTCTGCATTGAGATATTTGTATTAAGTTTAATTTCATATTTGTTTATTCTTTTACTCTCATTTGTTTCATTTGTTTCAATTATATTTCAGTTCACCGTCACCATATTGTGTCTAGACGAGTGTAAATAAATGTTTATTCCTCCACCGGGAATTTTTGTTTTGACATTCGCTACATGTGCAAATCTGTCATTCATTGAGTATGAGCGTCTCTTTGTGTTCACTTATGTGCGTACATGTACGTGTGTGTGTGTGTGTGTGTACTCGCGTGTGTGAATGATAGCGTACACATGCGAGTATGTAAGTGTATACCACACAAGGCTTTGTATTTGTGCGAGTAGGCGTACGCACAAGTGTGTGTATATGTGTACGTGCGAGCGAATATAAATATCCATGTGCGTATGCATATGTGTGCGCATGTGTGGATCGAGCGTGTATGCCTGGGTCTGTAAATATGTGAGCATCGGTTTTAGTTTGACAAGCGCTACATTCCTCCTAGAACTATAGAACTAGAACTTTTGATGTTAAAGGTGCAGCTCAAAGAGAAAAATCATTTTTAAAACAATGCATTGCTTAAACTAACAAACTTCAGTACTAAGTGCATGGAAACGTGAAACAAAATGAATGTTTTAGCTGGTACTCATTTCTTCCACTGATGTTTTTTTATATTAAAGAGATAATTAATTATACTCGATCTGTACCGTAAGTTTGTGTAATTGCTGAACGAACAAATAGAACAAGTCATCATTTTAAATATGAAATAGTATATGTTCAGTCAAGCAACCACTTCATCAGGGCCAAATGTACAAATTATTATGCGCTCGTAAATTGTCGAAAAAAATTTCTGCGTTTGTCTGTGCGAATACTAGAAAATAGTTAACTATCAACATCATTTTAAAGTATAATGGTTTTACTCTTTAAAACTCATTTTAACTCTTATTCTAAATTTTATCCTTACCTTCAATAAAACAACGATCTCGACAGTATGCAGACGTGATCTGTCAATGTGGTTTTAACAGTGAATGATGCATTTTTATAAGAATGCCCTCAGACTAGAACAATTATGGATCGAAATTCGACCTAAATTGCACTTAATCTCTGTAACATCGAATCATAATTGCGCTATGCTGACACTCCGCACGCCAAGTTTTCCCATTATTTTCCAACGTGCGATGATGCCTCAATCGGGAAGAAGCTCATGTCCGTCCATTCTTTCAGTGCATTTAGGACAGCGGACTAACGGATCCGCGGATCAAATATGGCGACCGCTTAATTCGCAGCAGGGATTACGCAACAAGCATTCAAGTGGGTCGGCCATCTTTGTTCCGCGGCCATCTTTGATCTGTTAGTCCGCTATTCTGAATGCGCTTTAAAATGTTGTCCCTCATTACTTTTTTGTCTACCTCTCCTCTTGCATCATCGGAGACCAAATGAGGATCTGAATGCGAGACGGACTTTTGGTCGTGTTATAACAGCCATTATTGCTATAGAGTGAACGAAGAAAAGATTGTTCAAATCATAGCCAAGATGCAGCGTGTGCACGTGAAATCAGAGAAAATGCGATAGGAATCACCATCTGGGAGAAAGAAGACACGAACACTTGAGCTCTGTAAACAATTGACTGCTATTTTTAAGCAGCAAAGAAGAGGCTTCCTCAAACTGTAACTAAAGATCTGGATTCTTGTTTCTTGTTTTGGACTCTTGTTCGACGCAAACGATGGATTTCTCATTACAGAAAATGTCATTCCCACCTGATATTGTTTTCCTACTACCTACAGCGTGTACATTCATTGTGATTATAATTTAATAAACTGTTTGCTTAAAATTTGACTAAGTCACATCTAGCGTAGGGATAATTTGATTTGACGCATAAGTTTGCATGCGACTGGTTATTTTATAAAATATTTCATAAAAAACTCATAATAATTTAAATTACACAAATCATGCAGGATTCACGAATGGTTTTCGTCTCTTGAAGTACTGCCGCCAATGTCTGTCATGTTTGATACACTCGCTTCGCGTGGTGGAAGTTCCCTATGTGCAAAAAGATATCTGCCAACAACTTTATTACCACAGATAGGATTTGTCTTTCTAATGTCATAAAATCGGACCTCAAAAACAGGGACGAAAAATATGAATTTTAGGGTTAAACCTTGGATAAGATAACCTCTCCGGCATAAACATACCAGCAAGCATGCGTGTTTGCTTATTATTTCTTTATTCAGTTTATTTTTTTCAGGGGCAAGGAATTTCAACCTGGGTAAAGAGTGGCTCTTTTCACAAGAAAAAAAAAACATCACACACAAACACACACACAAACACACACACACATAGAAACACACACTCACAAACAAACACACATCAAACAAACACTCACATATACACACAAATAAGCACACACACAAGCGCGCGCACGCAGACCCCCCCCAACACACAACTATACACACCAACATGCAAACATACCCCTCACACACACACACACACACACACACACACACACACACACAAGAACAAACAGTTAACATTTAGGTTATCAAGTACAAGCACACCTGTCACACCCCCCTCCTTACATCATTTCTGTTCTTATCAGACAACACGCCTTGGGACCAGGCCACATGTCCGGGCCAGTTCTACATGAAGAGTACTGGTTCTACCTGTGCGTCGACACAACTGTGCTTCATCCGTGGAACTCGTTAACCTCGTGAAAAGCTTAATTTGAAATGGGGAGGGGGGGGAGATTACCATTTAATAATAATAATAATAATTATTATAATAATAATAATAACAGATAAATAACTAACTAACTAACTAAATAAATAAATAAATAAATAAAATATCGACGGGATAGGGGTGGTTGGGCAGCTGTAAAATAATAATCCATACTCCGAGTCCTTACATCGTTTGACGGGGTCTACAGGGCTATGGTGTATTACTTTAGTGCCTTGTTTTAGTGCACAGTGCAATGAACGATAGAAACTTATTAAGTTCCTTGGTTCTATGTGCTAAGGGATGACGTGGTTAAAATGGATGCTTTGGGAAGGTGCATGCACCAGTGCCTTCTGCCATGGGCGCGGATTAATCTTGTCAGATATTTTTTTAGAATTTATATGTATTTCTACGACTTTTCTGCGCTGTCCATTGGAAATTTTGCGAGGGAATTTTCACCCTGTCTATATACTACATGTACCCGATAGAAAAACTACAGAAGGAGTTAGAGAACCACATGGCACAGAGATTGGTGCCGATGACAGTGCGCAAATATTGTATCTGTATCATTCAAGGAGCCCGTGTAACGACAATGAGAGTCCGTGTAACAGAAAGTCCGCCCTCCACATAGTTATAATGGTTAGGGTTAATCTGACTTAAGGGGGTCAAAATCTAGGGCGAGGCTCACCTGTAAATGAATGGGAAGCGGACTCTCTATCATGGGGGACTCTGTGTCACGTTACAATGGTACGGTGTAACAGGAATGGTAGTCAGCAAGGAACCATTACTTCGTACAGCTGACATTCGTCCCATATACTAACACCAATACTCCGACTAACCCTGACCTGTACTATTCATATGGGACCCTGGACTTCTATTCCGTTCACACTGGTTCCGTGGAGAATTTAAGACCGGAAGTTGGTCTTAAATGTTAGACCAACATTTTAGTCTACTTCAGTTCAAGTTATTGTAAGTCCATAGGAGTTGTATGTTTAAAGCAAGCGATTTGTGAGCAAGTAGTGACATGGAACATTAACTAAACGCATTGATCTTTCCTGCGATAAAACAATCACAGGTTCATTTGGGTCAAGGTTGACAGCAATTTTGGTGTACACATTTAGACCAGCATTTAGACTTAAGCTCATTTGAGAAACAGTTTAGGCCCAAGCGGTCCTGGTCTGTAAGTGTAAACGGGCCTCAGGAAACTGGCAGCTGTCGATCCGTATAAGTTTGCTTGGTTAGTGCAGTATAGACTATGATAGTGAACTCAGTACAGTTTTGGTACAGTTAATTTACCATCAGGGTGCCATGAAATTTCTTGGAGTACTTTTGCTGATAGTTGTCATTTCCACAGGTATAGTGCGACACTTCTATTGTATGTTTTCTGAATAATTGGATTCTGTCTGTCTGTTTTCTGGCTTCTATCATCTACAGTATTAAAATTATTTTATTTATTTATCTATTTATCCATTTATCTGTTTCTATGGTTATCATTTTATTTTATAAATAAATAAATAAATTTAGTTATTTATTATATATAAGGTGCCCCACAAGCAATATCTTTAGACAGAAATGTCATTTTTATCTGAAAATGGCACGTTGAGCCGTTAGCTCCTTCTGGTCAGTATCCCAAGGACGTTCTTAAATGTATTTTTCTTCACACCTGGGTTCTTTTGTTGACCGTTTGTACCAAATTGTTGCTCGATTGTGACGTCAATGACAACAACCTGATATCAACTTCTAATAAGATAACTGCTAACAGGGCATGGTTATAATCAATCAATAATTTCAGTCCGTGCCTGTTACCTCGTATACTTTCCGGTGTGCGGGACAGACGGCAAAACGTACAGGAATGACTGCTACTTGAAAATTGCGTCTAACGCTGCAGATTTAATTGGTAAGATGCGCAATACAACAACAACAGGATCAACAACAACAACAGTAATAATAATAATAAGAAGAAGAAGAAATTTAATTCTTTTGAAGAATTGTGTTTCATTTCCACATTTATATTATATTATATTATATTATATTATATTATATTATATTATATTATATTATATTATATTATATTATATTATCAGGTTTGGACCCAATACAGATCAAGTTTTATGGCACGTGCGAGAAGGGGCCTAGCAGACCCATATTCACTCTGCCACCGACGGCCTCAACGACCCCCAAGCCATGAACGCGAATGGATAAACTAGGACATATCTGATAATAGCTCTGGGTGTATCTTAGAAGAAACATACAAGAAAATAAAAATGGTTTTCTGTACGTTTGTGCATTTTATTTTGGGTTATAAATATGGATCACATAATTTATTCGCGGGTATTTGTATTGTTTTACTTTATTTGTATTACTGTTTTGTATATGACAGACGATGAAAGCACCGAAAGCAATCAGTCTAAGAGATTAACAAGCCTCCTCCTTGGTGTTGCGTAAAATACAGAAAATATGACGATTGTACGAGTAGGATGGGGACAAGAGTAAGTGAGTTAATCTGTTCATGTGTTTGCATTCTGCGAGAGTCAAAGCATTGAACTACCTGCATACTATACACAATTACACTGACAGATAAGTTAAACGTAAGATAATATGTTAATCAAAGACAAAGCCTGGTGTAACAAAATTTTGGCTCAATATTAAAAGAAGAAAATGATAGTTTAATAGGAAAGATAAAATGATAACGTCATTTAAAACAAAAGACAACAAAGTCGATGGTTCTCCGAAAACACATAATTTATTCATCCGGCAAAATATATACATACGGTTTCAATTCAATACAAAAGGGATTGGACAGTAGCCTTGCGAGATGCCCGCAAGATGGAGCCACTATCAATATACACAGAGATGTTTACTTGTAATAAAAACAATAAATTAAACACACCGATATAACCCATTTATCTATAAATATAGTGAAGGTACTAGGAGAAGCGGTTCCAATTGCGACAGCCGTTTTAAACAGCTTGTCCTGTTTATATGAGGAATATCGTCTGGTTTGTAAGAGGACTGTGCCTAATTATAAGCTACAAATGAGTCTAAATATAATACAACTTATGCAGCTTGTCATGTTTGAATCACAAACACACATTACACAATTAAATACATAGGAGCAGATTCAGGATCACCTATGTGATTTTACTAGTGCCTAATGTCACTTATCAATCAACAACTATCTCTAATCTGAAAAGCCAACCCCAACCCAAATTTGAAAAAAAGATATGTCAAAAATCCCATACCCCGAATTTGCATACGATATCAACTCAGTATTTTCCCGTAGTTCTAGGGAAGTTATCATCATTCTTGACCAGACTGCATTTAGAGGATTTTCATTACACCATATCTTACTTGATAGAAAAAATATAGTGCTAGTTNGTTTTTAAGGAGACAAAACGTCTTTTCACCAAGGAGGCATGAGTCTTTAAATCCGCCCCCCTCAAAAAAAAAAAATAATAAATAAGTAATAAATAAATAAGTAAGTAAATAAAAATCCACGACTAACCGTAACCTGTACTCTATGACTGTGTTTTCATGCCTAGATCGATCTATCTGGGTGTTCACGCTAAATTGCTATCAGCTGAGGAGACTTAAATGTCTGTCACGCCTACCGAATCAGCAAGGGAGGTAATTGACTTTCTTGCACGCTCGGCCTCGCCGATAGCAGATGGCAATTTAGTGAGACTACCCGTGGAGATAAATCGATCAAATATCTGTGGAAATTGTCCCTATCATACATGGGACCTCGGACGTCCGTTCCTACAGGTGTAGGTATCCTATTCCTGTCACACCGGCATACACCGGGACGCGTAAAGCGGTCAACGACACAAGCTCCCTCTTACGTACAGTTTAAGTCTAGTTTTACTCGTACGTAGTTTAGGATTACTCGTACGTAGAGTGTACATGTAGGTTTAGTCTATTTAGAAAGAATAATATGCACTGCTATAGCCTTCCTCAAGAGACGATTAAAAACTAATTCCATTACATCTCACGCATCTCTCCAAGTTATTTTGAAATCTAAACAAAATATAGGTGTGCGTCATTTTGTCGCCTGCCTTACACGTACATTTCTGACAGTTAGGTGCAGTAGGTGCGACTAATGCAACACGTATATGTGCAAACCAGCCAATGTAGAATCTTCTCTACAAACGTACACTCTGCCGTGGAAGATGAAGCAAATGCTGCAACGCAGGAAGACAAAATACAGAAAAATTAATAAAAAAAACACGATACCCAACCATGTCTAAGTAAATATGTATACATTAAAATAGTCGTAAAAGATAAACTATAACGTTTGAGCATTTCAACTTTTGGTATAAAACGTCCATACATACTGTAGCCTATACACATGTTAGTCTATATTCTCAATAGCGTACTTCCTGCTATGTCTAAATAAAAGAGTATGTCTTCATTGTTGAAAATGTACCTTTTAGGAATTGCTATTCTATAGCACATTTACCATGTGTGCTGAGGGTAGTGCTCTGCGCCTAATGGCGGTCTTTATCCAACTCAGAATCAAATATGACCCGAAGCATTATTGCTCTGGGATATAAACTGAGTCAATTTCGCTAAAATTAAAAAGAAATAGCTTGGTTCGAAGTAGAATGTATGCGTGAATGATTGCGGACCCCCCAAATACCAATGTATTCCTTAAAAATGCTCGTCAGAAAGAAGTAACATTAACTCAGTCTAAGAAGGTTGCCTAAATTTTACATTAAATTATTCAAAAAGTACAAAAAAATTACACAAATCCGAAAATAAAAAATGCAAGAGTTTTTCATTACCTTAGCTAAAAATGAAGGAATGGTATATTAAAGAAACTGCAAGTGCTGGTAACGCCACGTGAAAAAAAATTAGTTCATTTATACAATATGAGGAAAAAAAATATGAATAAAGGAAATATGAATCTGACATATCATATCTCGTGGTATTAGATTAGCACACCGCTTGTTAACAAGGAAAAAACATAACATATAATTTGGTTCTGTGACGTGTGTGTTTGTTGTACATGTACGATAGCGTCACAAGCTAGGACACAACTATAGCATTCAAAGTCAACAACATCAAAACTTGGATATTGTATCTGTATTAAAAATAACGACAGAGCACCCATCGTTAATGTACGCAAGTCTCTCATCGCATTATGTGTGTGTGCTGAATTCCTCTTTTTCGAGCATGCGCAATAAGTTACATGTAGCAGTCTTGAGAATGCAGCAGCATTTGTATTGGCATAACATCTGGAAACTCGTTGGCTCATAAAACAGACCAATCAGCAACCTTTTTTGCCACTCGCATATGCAAATGCGTCTTTCTGCCACAAAATAAATGAATTAAAATATTACTGCACCTTTAAATCCATACAGAGACGAAAGCATCCCATAAACCAAGTTGCATCCTGTTTGATGCGGTGGTTTTAACCAAAAATCCTTCGTGATTTATTTCCAATTCCTGCCATTGGCATTATTATTATCATGTCATCTGGATTATGTAATCCCTTTTTTTTTCATTACTATCATTTCAAAATTAAAACTCTCTTTCAGTTTGTGCAAACCTCTGGGTTGTTCCTTCTCGTTGGTCCTATCGCAATAAGTGAAAGTCAAGAATGAATGGATTGCGTTTGTTGAGCAAGCTCTTGGCAATTGATTGCGTTTGTTGAGCAAGCTCTTGGCAATTGATTGCGTTTGTTAAGCAAGCTCTTGGCAATTGATTGCGTTTGTTAAGCAAGCTCTTGGCAATTGATTGCGTTGCTCACTGCGCTTGGACATCAGCAATACATGCACTTCATTTGTTAAGCTTCGACTCATGGTCACTCCTCTGTCCTTGGTCACACCTCGATCCTACGGCTCGTCCAGTTGTGCGTCCGGTAGCAGCAACAGCACCCTCTTTCGGTGGACTTTCAAAACCCACGGTACGCATGCGTCTTTGTTTCATATGACCATGAATCTCATTTGAACAGCATGTGCCTGAGGTATGTTTGAAGTAAACCACAGTATAACGCATTGATTGATTAAGAGCCATATACGGTATGTGTAAAAATGAGAGAGGATGGATTAAATGCGATGATCTCTTGGCGATGTGGTGGTCTTCCACAGTAGTCAATGGCAGTTAACCATGGCCCAACATAAAATGGTGACCCAAGTGTGTTTGCAGCGTTGAGATATTTTATCATTTTTATCGCACGCAAAATACTGCCCTTTTTGTTGGATACAATTATGTTAGCAGTGGTGAATGTCATTATATAGACGCTCTTTTCCGGGAGAGGTATTGGTAGGGGAATTGTAAAGACACATCGTCGGAACAACTGTGGAGATCTTGGTCTCGGTTTGAGTTCATTGACGTCATCTGCACGTGGTGAGCGCCTTTGCCGCCGCCTGGCGAGCGGGACAAGAGTCTGTGCTTTTTTTCAGACGCTCTGGCTCGGAGGTTGTAACACGTGCATGAGCAGACCGAGGCAAGGTCACTATACTCGGGGTTTTCCTGGGGTTGTCCTTGGATGACATTCCCGTTGGGAACAATAATGTCTCCTTCCAGTCGAACGGCTCCTCTTGCCGCGACCGCCGCCTCCAACTCCTCCCGCCTCTCGTCCTCTGTGTTTAGAGTCAAAAATCGCAGCACTAAGAGATTCATGTTGGCGGACAATACCGCCAGACCGGAGAGTATAAATATCAAACTGAATGCAACATAGTCTGGGCGACTTTGCAACGCCTTGCTCTTCTGTAAGGCTACAAAGTCCCCAAACCCTATAGTCGTAAGCGTTATAAAACAGTAATAAAAGGAATCTAAATACGGCCAATCTTCGTATATGGAAAACGCCGCCGCTCCCGATGTAAGGACTATTGTGCACATGTTCAGGCCGACCATGATCAAGTTTGTCTGGCTGACCTCGGTATTTTTCAATTTGAGGCATTTTTTGACGTGCTTGAGGATGAATGTGACGAAGGTATTGAGACGTTCACCGATACTCTGGAACATAACCAGGGTCATTGGGATGCCACAGAGAGCGTAGAACATACAGAAGATCTTGCCTCCGACGGTTTTCGGCGTGCTGTGGCCATAACCTGAAAATACACATTGAAAACCATAAGTTACAATGATATGTCTCCTTCTACATGTACTTTTATATATATACACGCCTGGGAATTAACAGTTCTTTTTGCCAGCAAAGGGTCTGCTCTGGGTAAAATGTGATCTATAGGTATACGAAGGTTTCATGGTAAAATATCCACTTTTCAGGACAAGTCCCCACCGCCTTTGGAATTGCTGGTTATGGGCCTGATATACACTCGGGCAAAAACTTTCGGAAACATTCTTATTTTGAATAGTTATAAAATAGCCATATAAGTCTAGGTAAATACTTAAACCAAATATTGATGGTTGATTCATACACCATTCGTTACTTTTTATACACACTGAAGAATTTCTCTTTACATTACGTAATATCTTAATTATTGAAAATCATTTTACGAACTTTTTGGTCGAGTGTACATCAGTTTTGACGCCACATACAAAACATTAGTATGGATATATTGCAGCATAGAATATCAATATGTATATGTACTAGTACCCAGTAGAAAGAAACAAAAATGTAGAAAAGATATAGCCTACTGTCGATAAACTTTGCAATACCACAAAAAAAAAAAAAAAAA